TGAAGGTGACAAGTTGCAGAAGGGGACAAGAAGGGTTGGGAGGTGCATGGAATGGCTTTGACTTTTTGGAGCTTTGGGAAAACGAACAGAAAGGTGTTGTCTCGTGTGAGCTGCCTCTTGTTGGTACCGCGCGCATGCACCATCATCATCATTCATTATGGAATCTTTCCTTTTTGTATTCAAAACTCACAAAATGACAAAAACCGCATGCAACTCCGATTAACATTATTAAATTATTTAATTACCAAGTATTCAGGATTTGAATTCACATGTGCCTGTCCGGTACTTAATATAAAAGTTAATTAATAAATTTAAATAGATTAAAAAAATTAGTTAAATTAATTATTTATAATGAATATATGTCATTTTTTTAAAAATATATTTGCTAATTATGTATATTAACTAAAATTATCATTTAATAAAACATTTAATATGTGTAACTATTACACATACTATCTTAAGAAAAATAGATATATATGAAAGACAAAGCGGATGTTAAACTATTTTTTATATTAAGAACTAGGGGTAGTATAATATTATTCCTAATATATAAGTCACTTTCAATACGTTTCATTTGAAATCTTAAATTCATTAACTCCTCCTTAAAATTTAATATTGTTTTAACATTACCTTTATTTAATACACGTACTCTTTGCGGTCTATAATATAAACCATTTAAACTAATCCATCTATACCAGAAAATGATAATTAATTCATTAAATGTGTTTCAAATTTTTTGTAACTTTAATTATACTCTTAAAGTCCTTAATATAAGACCCATTTAACTAATTTGATTAGATTAAAAAAGTTAGACAAGTTAGTTAATTATAAGAAAAATGACACATTGTTTCTAAAATACCATAATCATCTTTCTTAATACCCCTCTCTCTCTTCTACTTGATTATGGTTGAGGGAGTATCTATAGGGGTAATTTAGAGAAAATTAATAAATATGATAAATAGATTTTATATTTAGGACCAAAATCAACTCAAAAATCGGGTTCTATATTAAGGATTGGAGGAGTATTAAATAAGGTTGTGAATGAAAGAGAACAATAAAAAGTGTTATATTTAAATATTAATTGCGGGGAAGAAATTAACAAATAAGCATTAATTGCTTCTCAAATGACTTATATTATGAATAGGATGGAGTATGCTTTCTTAACAAGACAACAATATATACAATAATAAATAATGAAGAGTAATATAGTATATTTAAGAATGATATAGCTTATCAGTAGAACTCCCATAAAAATATTCTCTCTCTGGACAAAAAATATAATTGATATTATTAAGACATAAATATATAATAATTTACGGGTTAAATGCATTTTTGCACATGAAGTAGCAATCCTTTAGTACACGAAGGAGTAATGTTCCACCTAATGTTTTAAAAATAGTGCTATGTGGCTCAAATCTAATGGAGTTTTAGACGATGTTAAACCCATAGGTTGAAACCATTGCTATTCAGTAGCAAACAAAGTGGCTGGTGGGATTGTCAAGTTTTATTGAAAGCTTCGTGCCCGTCTGATTTTCTTTGTGAACGGTAAGGTTATTTTGTTTGTTTTTGCTTTGGTGGTTGTTTTGTTTTCTCTGTTTTGTACTGAAGTACTTTCGTTGAGCAATAGAATTGTTACCTTTCCAGCAAAAAAAAAAAAAAACACAAAATGGTTTTACGTGGCGTGCCTATGTGTAAAAAATCATTAGGTTAATGGGACATTTCTATCGGAGGGGTGTCTGAGTGTGTTAGTGTGTATAAGTAGGACATTCGGGCTGTTTAGGTACCACCCGCATTAGGTGGTTTTCTCTTCAGTCTCTAGTCCGGAAAAAAAGAAAAGAAAAGAAAAGACATTTCTATATCAAGGTAATAATAGCAAAGGAGTAAGTGATGATGAACTCATTAATAAAGTTCAACAATGTGGAGCAATCATGTTTAAGGTGTCACATGGTATGCTCTCAATGGCGCTATCAATTAGAAATATGTACTGGCATATTATTAACTAGAAAAATATTTATATCAAGTTTTTAAATCATACATAACTATATGTCTCATTTTTAAAATATATGTTTATAACTAAAGTATACTATCTTCAATTCTTCATATAATAACTAGTTTGACATTCAATTTGGTCCTAAATATAGGACTCCAATCTATCTTGTTTCTAATATTTATCTATTTTGCCCTCAAATAATTCTTATAATAGTTGCCTATGTTAAGGAGTTACTATTAATGGGTAATTCAAACACATATGATTAGTAAGGGTATTTTAGTGAAGACAATATCTACTTGCTATGAATAACTAACTTAACTATATTTTTAGTTCCCTAAATTAGTTAATTAGGTCTTATATTAAGGGACAGGGATAATAATATTTAAAAAATGGGACACAAGGCTACATGTGATTGGAGAAATTGATATAATAAATATCATGAACTTGATGTAAATATTATCCCATTAATTACTATTGACAACCTCGCATCACCTTTAATTGAAACATCTTGCATCATGTTTAAGGTGTCACATGGTTTGCTATCTCAACTGTACTATCAATTAGAAATATATACTAGCATATTACTCCTATAGTTCTCAATATTAGACCTAATTTGAGAGTTGATACTAGTTTTATATGCAAGACATATTTCACATGTTTATTATTTTTTTCTCCAAATTAACCTTATTGACATTCTCTTAACAGTAATCAAGTATGAGAGGAAGAGAGAGAATTAAAGAAGATGATTAGAATGTTTTAGAAAGAACATATCATATTAATTAATTTAAATAATATTTTTAATTTAATCAAATTAATTAATTGGGTCTTACATTAAGGATCATGGGAGTATTAATTATGAAAATACTTCATTCACGTTACTTATATTTATTATGTCAAATTTTTAAATAACACATAGCTCTCTGTTCCATTTTTGAAATGTGGTTTACAAATTAAATGATAATACTAGAAGTATTATCAAATACTAAATGTGAATACCTTTTTTACTAATAATAACGTTGGTTCGCATATTGTGAGAAAATAGCCCATTTCTGTTAAACCCAACTGTAGTTGATTATCAGCGATGATTTGAAGGCTATAAACGATCTAGCGAGGCCGGGTTAGCGATCCTATCCTGGATTTACATTGGGTGCTCATCAGTTTTGATGAGCATCCAATGCTCATCAGATCTGGACCGTCCAGATTTATTTTTATTTTTTTAAAAATAATTATTTTAATAGGTATAGGATAAAAAATAAAAATAATCTCTTAACTATCATTCTTTAAAAATATGATTTTTTCTATTTGGGGACCCATCCTGTCCCATTGCCAAGCCCTAAACTATTTGACAAATTGAGCCGGTTGTGTTGGCTATTTGGGCTAGGCCTTTTTCGGCCTTTTTTGGGGCTAATTGTTGTGCTTGGCATAATCGGTGATTTAACGTTCAATATTATTCATATTACTATCAATTATCAATAAAATATTTTTACCAAAGATATTAAATATTAATATAAGAATGGAGTGGACCCATAAGAGGTCATGAGTTCGGAGATGGGATTAAAAACATCAACCTCGGCAAGGAAATTTTTTTAACGGTGTTATGAGAGTTATTAATATCATTATATGGCTTGTTAACCATATTACTGAAATTGTAAAAATATCACTTTTTGAATTTTTTGAAAAACCTATTGTTAATGGTAATACCAAACTTATTAATAGTATTAAAAATTCCCCACTTATGATCCCATGATTAATCTCTCAAAGTATAAAAAGCTCTCAAATCAAATGGTTAATGGTGTTATGAGAATTTTTAATATCGCTACATGACTTGTTAACTGTGTTATTAAAGTTGTAAAAATGTCACTTTTTGAAATGTTACGTTTTGAATTTTTAAAATCTATTGTTAACAGCGATGCCAAATTTGTTAATAGTATTAAAGAACTTGATAATTGTGTTATTAGATTTGTAAAAATCCCCTAAAAAAAAAAAGTTGCTGCCAATCTCGTTAGCCGACCCCCAGAACTCTAGGGAAAAGCTCTTAGATCATATGATTAAAAGTGTTATGAGATTTATTAATATTGTTATATGACTTGTTAATCGTGTTATTCAAATTGTAAAAATACTATTTTTTAAAATGCTATTTTTTAAATTTTTTAAAAAATCTGTCGTTAATAACAATACTAAATTTGTTAATATCATTAAACAAAACTTGTTAATTGTGTTACTGGACTTAAAAAAATTCCTAAAAAAATAATTGCTAGTAGTCGGAATCGACTTGTCGTTGGAGCTTTGATGACCAATAAACTACTTGAACCCCGACAGTGACTACCAACATTGAAGCTTTAACAACCAGTTAGCTAATGAGGGTGGTGTTTGATGGTTTTTTGTTAAACGAAAATAAAAAACAATATGATCATTTTAACAAATTTAAAAATCCCAATTTGGTCAGCTATAGCTAAACTAAAATTTTGCTTATTGGGATAACCATTTGAAAAATTTCGAATTCAACAATATGCTTTTTTTAAGTATTCTCAATTTTTAACATAAATATATTATTTTGTATATATTCCTGACAAAAAAAAACTTGCATATATTGCATAAGAATAAAGTTAGAAAGTAAGATTTTTTTTTTTTTAAGGAGTGAAGAGACAATTTGATTCATAATTTTATTTTTTAAGTGCCCCTAACACCTTGATTTTTTAGTGGTGTAATTTTACTCATAATTTTTTTGATGTAATTTTATCACGATTTTTTTGAGTCTAATTTTAATCCTGATTTTATTTTTTAGATGCATTAAATTAAAATAAAAAAATTGAGTAAAATTGTATTAAAAATAATAAATAAAATTATACTACTAAAAAAATGGATGCAAAATTGCACTTTTGTCCCTTCTTTTCACAATAAACTATGTGCGCATTGCCACAATAATCTTCCTTCAAATCCAAATCCAAATCCAAATCCAATATTTTGGCTCAAAAAAAAAAAACAATCGAAATGCTCACCTCGAGAAAGGGGAGAATTCCAATTTTGAGTTCAGAAATTTGGGAATCGGAAGCTTATACCCGAACTAGCCTATGAATCTGGTAAGAAATCCATGATATCCACGAAGATGTCATCGGAATCTACCTGCGAGCGCCTGCAACGAGCCCTATCGGAGTGTCATCGGCGGGTCCCGTCCGGTCCGGGCCGCGACACGGCGTGCCGCCACCTGAACCACGCCTTCGCCATGTGCCTTGTCTCCTTGGCCTGCCGAGAAGAATCCGACGCCGTTCAGGCACTCTGCTCCAGCAGCGGCACCGCCCTGAAACGCTCTCAGTGCCAACAGGCTCAACTCTCTCTCTCCGTCTGCCTCTCTGCTCATCAACAAAACTCATGATTCTTGAAACCTACCCCTAATCCCAACCTTTGTAAAATTTTGTGTTTTGGGATTTCTTTTACTGTTATTTTTTTTTTTGGTCTGCAGACTAGAGAGAAATAAGAAACGACGTCTAAGAAATTGATGCGAGATTGTTACCCCGTTTTTTTTTTTTTTTTTTTACCAGCACATTGTTACCCCTACCAGAGTTGTATAATGCAAAAATCATAGTGTTTATGGATAAATTAAAAATAGTGTTTAGTTTCATGGAATGCTATGAAACTTGAAAATTGTTTCGGCAATTTGAAGTGATTCCGTGAGACTGGTGCGGCTGACAAACTCTATTGAAGATTTCATTCGGAAAAGTTGCAATAAAATCTTATGTAAGTGAGTTTGAACACAAAAAAATCTTTTAAAATTATTAAATTATTCTGAAATATCAAAAAATTTTATTGTAAAAGATTTTATTTGTTTAAATATTAATTTGTTTTTTTTTTAAGTTTATATTGATAACTGGAAGTAGTAGTCGTTAACAATTTAAAGTGCAGCAATTAATAACCATCAGGTATTGACAATATATTTTCTCAACGCATTACAAAAATATAATGGATGAGTTGTCAATAGTTGCTGTGATTATTGTTAATTCTTACCCCTTAAGTTGTTAATAACAGCACTTTCAGTTGTTAATACATATTTTCTAAAAAAAAAAGTAATTTGGTAATTAAACAAAAAAAAAGTTCTTTGAGATTTCAAAATAATTTTATGATTTTAAGAGTCTTTTTTGTATTTAATTCTTTTAGGTGGGATCTAATTATAATTTTTTTAATTTTGTTTTCCTACTCCTATTAAAGAGAATCGTAATTTGCAGAGAATTCAATATTTACATTCAAGCTAGCTAAGTTATTGCATCGGCCCATCATTAGTCTGATGCTCAAATAAAAATTACAAAAAAAAAATCATTATGTGGTTTCAAAAACAAAATATAATTACTCTACTAAATTTTTTTTATAACAAGTGAATGGTAAATTTCAGAGGAAAAAAAAACATTATCTTGAGTTCTAATTATAAGATTTATAGTGCAATTTACACTACAAAGTAAATCTTATAATAAAAATTGAAAGTAGTTGATTATTGAATTTTTTTAGTAATAATATTATTTATTTGGAATCTCAAACCACTTTTCTTAAAAATTATGCCCTTCAAAGAGAAGTAAAGAAATCAAGCTGCTCCTATTGAACTATGGGGAAAGATTGCTGCATTTTGCCATTACTTGTATTAAGTTTTATAATTTCTAAGTCAGTCTGACCAAGTCTTTTAAGCAAGCGGATGAAAATTCAGTTTTAGTTCGTATAAATTTATCACTGTGGAGGAAATCAGCTTCTGACATCAACGGAAATACGTGATAAAAAAGAATAACGCAACTCCGCATAGATGTTTGGACTTTTAGGTCCAGCAAATGTTTCGTGAAAGTGCACTTTTCTGTCCAAAAGTGAGAAGAAAAAGGAAACATTCACAAAATCATGAAATTACAAGGCAAGTGCCTTTGCAAACATACATGATTGCAAATTTGCAATGAACTTCTACTTTTTTTTTAATGAAAAATGTTGCTTTTATTTCATTTGAATTTTACAAATAGTAAAAGTCATGGAGTATAACGTGACCAATATTTACACAGGCTTTTTTCGTCAAAAAATTAGCTAACCTTTAAAGTAATTTTAATTGGATATTTCAGAGTAATTTTAGCTTTTGTAAAAATCCTCTCTTCCTTTTTAGCTGAGTGTGTTTTCTTTTATTTTTTCACATACAATTTACATAACCTAACGCTCAGGAGCCTGTTTGGAACGATAGTAAAATCATTTAAAAACAACTTTTTAATCGATAAGATAAACTTTGTTTTGAATTATGTGCCCAAACAAGCACATAATTATATTTTAAACCCATTTTAAAAATAGATAATTGGTCCAAAGTGACTTAAAGAGGAAAAGTAACTTTTGAAGAGGCGCACACTCATTCCAAGCATACACTATTTGACCACAGCTTGTTTACCTTCTTGCATGCCCTCTCCTCTCTTATTCATACCCATAACTGGTGCTTCTCATAGAGGACAACACCTAAAAGATTTCTGCACACATACAACTTGAGATTCATAACCACCAAGTACCCCCTCAATTCAACCCAACATGTCACCATTCATGTCTGCACACATTTCTCAAACTTTTATCTTGAACAAGTATAATCACCCAAAGCATGATCATTTCAGAAACACTCAACTGAAAAAAGCACTTAACATACATAATGTTTCTCATAAATCTCTTACAACTGCAGAAATAAATAACCTATGCAAGAAACCTCTCCCTGTCATGTGGAGTATCATAATTAATATTTGGCCCAACAGGAACGATCCCAAACGGATTGATAGAAGGATGGCTTCCATAGTAATGCAACTTTATATGTTCCATGTTTACTGTACTTTTCATCCCTGGAATTTGGTAGATGTCTTTCGTATAATTGAATAGGTTTGGGTATTCCCTTAATAGCTTTTTGTTGCACTTGAAGTGAACAACATAAACCTGCAATTACCACACAGGTTAATCGCTAAAGCTGAAATGTAATAATGCAATCTATATCTAAAAATATAATGCGAGAATACCCTTGTTAAGAACCAATTCAAGTTGGAAGTTGACAATTAAATGAAGGCTAAGCAATTGTCTACTAATCCTGAGCTCTTGCTCAGACGCTATGATACCATGTCACCGACCAATGATAAAAGAACCCTTATCTTTGTGATTGTTCTTGATTATTAGAAATTACGATGATGCATTCGTTTAAAAACAAGAAGCTGCAGCTCATCAGGCTAATGATAAAAGAAAACAAAACATATAGAAAATCCTTCAAAATTTCAGCTATATTTTAAAGCTTTCCCTTCCTGTGATCTTTACTATAAGGTAAGCCATCAAGAATTCAACAACCGGAACAAGCTTCCTGTTGCTCACCATTCTTCATTGCATTCCATTAAGTTTGCAAAAGAAGTAAACAAAACTAGAAGAGCTTACACTTTTGTATAAGTAATAATAGACATTATCATCTTACAGGAAGACTTAGTCTTTTCTTTTTTAAATATTGAATATTTGAATGACCTTTGGGAGACTGGTGAAAGCCAGATCGGCCGGAGTTGACAAGAGCTGATATTAGAGAAATGTTGGTTAAAATCGGAACATATTTTGAGAGTTGGTAGAGATCTGGACTGATAAACTTGTTTTAACAGGAAGGGAGCAGGAAAGAATTAACAAAAATGAAAATATCACTGTAAACGAGGTATTACATTTCAGGCAATTGCTGAGCATGTGGATCTTTGTTTTATTGGCATCTTATTCAAGATACTTCTACAGTTGCCAGATAGACTAATAAAGAGAACAAGAAAGAAACAATTATCGGTTTTCAAGGTGGGGAAAAGAGAGAGAGGAAGAGATTTAATAGGCAAACATTATATTGTAGTAAAAATATGGTATAAAACATCTAGGAATTTCCAAACTATGCTGCACTCTATGATTTAGTTTAGATTTATGTCTAAATGATGACCTTAGATCAATACACAAATCAATACAATGATGCTTGTTCTTGCGCAAAATATTGGCACAACACATTAAAACCAAAACATATGCCCATACTTGAATAGCAGTGAACCAGTATTCGCTCATACCTCATCAAATCTGATAAGAGTGACAAACAACCGAATATCTGCTTCAGTTAGTGTGTTGCCGCAAATATAACGTTGCCTGCTAAGTATATTTTCACATTTGTCTAAAGCTTCGTACAATGTTTTTACAGCCTGCAGAAGGGCCAATAAAAACAAATTCAGTGATGTGAATACCACATAGTCAGCCACTCCTACAAACATCAACAAAAAGAAAAACTACATACCTCATCATATGGCCGTTGCATCTTTGCAAACCCACATTTATAAACACCATTGTTTATACCATTGTATATCCACTCATTAGTCTCATCAACTTGGGCTTGCAAATGGGTGGGATACAAGTCCAAGGTGGGATTTTCTGCTACATTGTTGAATTCGGTATTAAGCATGCGAATTATCTCTGAACTCTCATTGTTAACAATTGTCTTGAGTTTCTTATCCCAAAGAACCTACACAGTTATAAATCCCACAAAAGATCATAAATATTGCTCATTAAAGCATACACAAAAGAAAAGATATAGTCCAAAACAAAGAGGAAACACACAGGAACCGTATATTTTCCTGTGTAATTTGAACTTGCTATTTCATAAAGTTCCCTAATGCTCTTCACTCCATTCAAGGGATCAGGTTCAGCTCCCGGCACCTCAGTTTCCGATTCAGGAAAAATCCATCCCATATGCTCATCTGTTTCTTTGGTTCTTCCCCAAATGGGTTTGACAGACTGATTATTCAAATGGACAAAATGGGAAAATTGAAAATTAATCTACCATTCTAGTTTAAACACACACACACACACACAGAGATCTCATGAAGATCACTAACCGAGAAACTGATGGCTTTGTCAAGTCCTTTGATCTTCAAATAAGCAAGGCACCTGGAAGCCCAAGGACATGCATATGATATATACAAATGATACCTACCTGACTCAGCTGGAAATTGAGAATCTGGTCCTCTTGAAATGAAATTCCGGTATGTAGAAGCAGTTCTGGCAAAAGCGCCAGCGTCTGATATCTCATCCAATGCAGATCGTGCCATGTTAACAATAAACTAAAAAAAAGACATATCAAGAATCAATAAACCAACAAATTTTTGAAGTATCAGAATGACATAATTTTCTTCAAGATCTGATATGCTTAAATCTATATATTAGGCCCACTTAACCTGCACACTAAATGACTTCAGATTCAGATTAAGTTCAGAAAAGAGGCAAGTTAGTAAACAACGGATTCCAGTTAAGATTTTAGTTTTAACTTCATGAATATATTCCATAGTCGTTCACTCAATTGTGAAACAAAGTCTTCTGTGGAGGCTCTACATGGGTGGAAAAGAACAAGTGGAACATGAGAATTGGGAGAAAAGGATGTAATTGACCGAACCTTGATACAATTTAATTTCCACTCAAGCATACACTAAGAGACGAACATCCGTACTAATTCAGGATGCAACACAATAAAGACATGCCACAACAAGAGTTATAATGTTTAATTGCAATTTGAAGTGTCGAAGAAGACATGACTTAGGCATTGGTACTTCATAGGCACAACTCGAAGAAAGCAGTGATACTGATACTTTTCTTCAGTGGTTTAATTCAACTGAAAATACAACCTATTCCGATAGAATTCTTCAGGAAATTATTTTCCGCAGAAAGATCATCGTCACAACATAAATTTGCCCCCGATGACGGAAATTTTCCTTCTCAGTTAGGAAAATATATAACATAAAAGATGAAGAGCAGTTCAGATATACTCTGTTTCCATTTAATCTGGTTAGCAGCGAAGATACACAAGAAGAAACGAAAGCAGTCCTAAATATTTAAGGTCAGAGAAAGAAAGAGAATTCAAAAACAAGATTTTCGCAATACCTTGCAAGAAATCGAAGGGGAGGCAGAGGAGATCTTGGGGCACAGAATCACACACGACTTGGCAGAGAACATAGGAAGCTCCCAAAAGTTCAGCTCATATTATTCGGAATGTAAAAGCATTTAGTCGACTGTACAGCATTTTTTTATTAGAATCAAATGTGCAAGAACTTCCATTCTTGTGAGTGGTATCCACTTTTTTTTTATAATACTAATGTGTTTTCTTCATGAGTTCTCTTTAAATTTCTTTCTTCTTATGAAAACCTCACTTATAATGTCTTTCTTTTGTTGTCAGATTCTAAGTATACTCTGCACTTGCCTCTTTAAGAGGATCCTGTGCATCAGAAATAGAATCTGACCACGATCCATGAAGGAGTGCTTAGTGCTAATCTTTCCAGTTATCATAGATCTGGTATTCAAAGCTGAGAGTCCTAACATGACCCGTTGATGAGTTGAGAATGAGTGGCCTTACATGCACTAAAGCTTTGGATATCAGATTATGTTAACTTGGTCCGGTTCAGCTAACACTCCCGAGTAGTATTCTCTAATAGTTAAAAATATTAAATTTGTCATATATGCGTAGTAAATAGAGAGAATTTAGGGAAAAAAATATAACTTTTTTTAAAAAATAAATTAAAATTTTACATTTAATATCAAAGTAGATTATTAGCTTTTTATGTTGAGGAATAGAATCAGTAATAAAATACTTAAAACCAAATAACTTTTTTTTTGTAAGTTAAAATTTGCAGAGTTACAGAAAAGAACATAACCAAAGGAAAAAAAACAAAAAGAAAAACCCTCAAATTGCATAATGGGCGCGTTAGGGAATTTGGACCCCATTCCATAGTTAATTAATAATTAGTAAATAAAATAATTAAGCAAAATAAAATGTTGCAGGTGTATGCTGGTCACAAAAGGTGATCTCCAAGGAATATGTTTATGATATTGATCGATAAAGTATTATGGAGTGCGCCACCACTCCCAATTTGCTTTGTCCTCCATGATTGTTTTTTTTTTAAATTTTTTTTATAATGATTATATTTAATGAAAAAAATTTAGTATTCTTAACTTTTTTTTTTGCCAACATTTAAAATTCTCAACTTGAATCTCACTTTCAGGTAAAAGAAACTTGTCCTATTTGGATTAAGGTATATCCAACAGTCCAAAATATTTTTTTATTTGCATTCAATACCTTAAAGTATTTTGTGGTGCATTTAACATTTTAAAGTATTTTTTAGGTGCATCCAGCATTTTAAAATATTTTATAGTGTAATTTTGCTCTTAAAGTATTAATTTTTTTAAGAAGTAATTGTGCTTTTAAAGTATCATTTCATAAGCAGTTTTAATTTTATCATTAAATTTTCAAAAGGTGTATTAAATGACTGTACATCAAGCACCATATAGTACTTTTTTAGTATCTTTTAAGGTGTTAGATGTACTTGAAAAAATACTTTAGAATATTAGACATATCACAAAATATTTCAAGGCACTGGATGCTCCTGAAAAAATATTTCAAACTATTAGATGCATCATAAAATACTTTAAGTTTCGGAGGGCTAATCACATCTTAATCCATCTTATTTTTATAGATATTTACTGTATAATAAACTCTTTTTTTGAATAAAGGGTCACATATTGACAACTTTGGAATTATAAGTGGAATCAAATTCGTAATATAATTAACTCTTGTTATTGATACGAGTAATGATTTAAAATCTACTTGTTCTGATTTAATTCGATAGGATTATATTAAGTATATAAGGCTAAGTACTTAAGTCTTTCTCAACATAATATCAGACATATAACTTATTAAAAATGTACTTACATATGTTTAAACGTAAATATAACACATAAATTAGAGAGTATGTATTATAGTACAACACTACAACGAGGATCTTCTGGGTCGATGCCTATTGTTTGACGTCATATTTGAGCTACGAAATTGAAAAGTTATGTCAGTAATATATTAATAAACTATGTGAACTATAAAATTGCTTGTAATAAATTCAGTTATTTTAGAATTCTGAGAAATTGCTTTAGTGTTAAAAAAATTGATTTTAATGGTTTTGATTTTAGTAATTAGAGATGAATAAAGTGATATCGATAACTTTATCACCCGCGTGGGGATTCATGAGAATTGGCAATATTGCCTGTATATATATTGAAATATTAAACATTAATTAACATTTGTTTACATATATCAGGACAATTGAAGACATAAAAATGACATATAAATATAAGTAATTCATCTATTCAAAAGTAAAATAATCAAAAGAAGAATATATACATTTGAAGAACACAAGTAAAGGTTATCAGCACGATGATCAATTGATTGAAACTTCTTCAGTCTCCCTCTCCCTCTTGTATAATCTTGTATAAATCACTTTTAACGTGTTTTATATAGACTTACAAAAATTTTAAACTTTATTAACTCTACTTTAAAATTTAATAATTTTCTAACTTTATCTCTATTTAATATATATTATATCTTATGAGAATAAAGTTAACATAACAATACATAAATGATAAAATTGTAATTTTTCTTTCCACTCTATAAGTAGAACTAAAAAAGTACTCTTCCGATCCTAAATATAAGACCCTTATACATGCTAGTATAAGGGTCATATATTTAGGACTGGAAGAGTAAACAGTATAAGAACCTTTTGAACAAAGTTATTTTTGCCCCTAACCCACATACAGGTGGCAAACGAACCCACACCCCTTACTCAGATGAATGTCCAGCATTTGTTATGTATTGAGAATTTTTGCACTATTTTTGGGAATTGATGGGTAAAATTGCATAACAGTTGAGTTCAGGATGCTAGCAACTAGATGCATAAAATAATTTGCTGGATTTTTAACCTTAACCTAATTATTCATATATTGCTCAAAGTTCAACAAAAATTAATGGACATTATTAATTATTTTTTATTCAATTTCATTTATAGCCATCAATGATAATCAATTTCTTCTATAATGTGTTAGCAATAATAAATATCCATCAATGAGGATTGATAGTGTAAATAATAAAATCTCCTGCATTAAATTATTAGATGTTAATGTAAGACATATCATTTCTGACTCATTAATAACATTAATATTTGTACAAGTTAGAGCCCACTTTATCAAAGCTTAACTTAGTCCAAAAAAAAAAAGTTCAATTTGATAATATTTAAAGTATTTAATATTTTTTTTATTTTGTTGTACAATTAGACTTTAAGAACTTACTCTGATCTATTTTACTAGTTTTAGTTGTCAATGTAAAATTTATTTTATATTTCAATTTAAATTACAAACTAGATATCAAAGGTAGCATAAGAATTCCCTTTATTTATAATTAACTTAATCTCATGGAATTGCTGCAGGGCGGTGTCAAAATATTTTCCTAGTGGAGTAACGGATTTAGTCAAAGATAGGGAAGTGAATATTCTTGTTTTATTGGAAACAAGGGTAAGTGGAATAAAAGCGGACAGAGTTGTTAGGAAGTTGGGTTTTAGTCGATGGATTACAATTGAAGCAATTGGCTTTTTTGGGGGAATTTGGGTCCTGCGTAAGGAGGAAGACGTCTCTATTCACTACCATTCCTCGTCTACTCAGTTTCTTCACCTTCGTGTAGAAATTTCGTCGCCTCACCATCTATTATGGCTCACGTGTGTTTATGCTGAACCAAGGGAATTATTATGGAATTCCTTGCGGGAGGATCTCCTTAATACAAGTAATGGGTTGCAAGGGCCTTGGGTTGTCGTTGGAGACTTTAATGCGTATTTGTCTAGTGGTAAACGAGGAAGGGCTCTGCCTAATATCCATTCCATGCTTCATTCTGGATAGTGCATTCATGACTCAGCTCACAGAAATTGATACAGTGAGGGATAGGTTCACTTGGGAGAGAAATAAAGTGAAAGAGAAAATAGATTGAGCTTTCGGCAACGCTAACTGGAATAGATTGTTTCCTCTAGTGAAGGTCTGTCAATTAAGTAGGCGTGGTTCTGATCATAGACCTCTCTTTTTGAAGTGTTTGAATGACAGTGTAAGCCACAGAAAGAAGCCCCTACTCAAATGCCAAGCTGCCTGGGTATCTGAGGAGGGGTTTAGGGGAATAGTGGAGAACGCCTGAAGCAATGGGGATTGGATAGAGAAGGTAAATAAATTTAGAGAGGGTGCTTGGATTGGAATTGCTTGAAAGTTGGAAACCTTCCCGCCAAGAAAAGAACCATTTTGAAAAGAATAGGAGGCATAGACAGAGCAAGATCCAGGAGGGATAGTCAATACCTCAAGTAGATAGAGAAGAAATTATGGGAAGAAAATAACAAATTCTTGGCCCAAGAAGAAATGTTCTGGTTTCAAAAATCAAGATGTAATTAGTTAAAAAAGAGAGACAAGAACAGTAAATTCTTCCATAACTCAACAATCACTAGACGAAGGAGAAATCACATTGATGGTTTGAAAAAAAGACAATGGTGTTTGGAGCATTGATAAGCCAGAGTCAAAGAGCATGGCCGTAGATTACTATCGCTGCTTGTTTAGAAGTGAGAGCAATGTTGACGAGATGCTAGGCACTCAAAATGTGTTCCTCCCTTATCTCATGCTGACTCAGAGTTGCATTCAGCTAGAGTTATGAATAAGAAAATCAAGCAAGCAGTTTTTGACATGGGTGCTTTTAAGGCTACTGGTCTTGATGGTATACAGGCTTTTGTCTATCTTGAATTTTGGAATGTCATTGGGGACTCAGTTGTGCCTTGGCGAAAGATGTGTTCGACAATCCCTCAAGAATTAAACGTCTTAATAGCACCAATCTTCTCCTGATTCCAAAAATGGATAAGCGAAAGTCGATAAACCATTTTAGACCCATTTTTTGGTGCAATGTGAGCTATAAAATAGTAACAAAAGTCATTAGTCACCGCTTGAAAAAAATTATGAATAAAATGGTGGGACAACATCAATATAGCTTTATTAAAGGGAGGCAGAGTAGTGATAATATTATCATAACCCAAGAGGCTGTTCACTCCATGAAACTTAAAAAAGGCAGTAAAGGCTAGCTAGCTATGAAAGTTGATCTGGGAAAAGCTTATGAAAGACTTGAATGGAGCTTCATTCAGGTTACCTTGAAGGCAGTGG